TTGCCATCTAAATAATAAAAACCACCACACAGTTAATATATGTATTTTCTATCATGCTTGTTTCAAATACCACATTTAGTTCCAGGAGGTGTATTGGAGAGCAGAGATACTGAATGACATACAAGGCTTTTGGATGAGGAAAAAAAAAAAAAAAGGAGAAAAAAAACTAATACAAAATATTTCCAGACAGCATAAGTAAGATTGAATGCAGTTTGCTCATCTGTTGGAAGTTTATTTCAGAAAGCTGTTTAAAATCCACATCATCAAACAAAATGCCTCACAAACATACCACAGCAGGTATGTGTATACTTAATAATTGCTTTTGATTTGTCTTTTAATCACAGTTATTATCTGTAACAGTACTTTATGCACATAAAGAACATTTTGAATATGAGTTCCTCAACCCAACTCCAAAAAGCCTGGTATCTCTGTCTCTGAAATTTTAAGAAGCCTTTAATTTTAGAATATCCATCCATCCTAAAACATTACACAAATTAGTTTGATTATAAACTTCTTGTTTTTAGACTGTGGTTTTAATTCAGCAAAGTATTTGTCGGGGGATTTGTGAATAATTGCTGACAGAGAGAAGAATCCATTTGCTTCTAAAAAAGAAAGGAAGGGGTTTTTATGTTTATATTGGATCCAGGTAGCCTGGTTTTTATAGCTATATAAAGGGAAACTTAAGTCAGTTGAGGCAGTGTTTTCAACAGGCAGTAGATAATGCTAAAAGGCTGAAAGATAGATCATTGGTAGCTTGAAAAATCAAAGTTATTTTGGACAAATCAAAGGTATTTTGATACCTGCACTCTTTAGGCAGCATGTACATAATCCTTGTAAAACTCATACTACTTTTACTAAAATTATTAGGAAACCAGTAGATATTGGTCTCTCAATGAAGACCAACACTAACAAAGTTATATAAGCATAGAATGATTTTTTTTTCCATACCTGCTGACCTTGAAATAGTGTTTTAAGGACAATCAACATTAAAACAGTCATTCACAAATGCACACCCTACTACTTATTCACATTTCCATTTCTGTTGCAAAAATATTGAAACTTATTAGAGAGCTTAATGTTGCTTTATCATCATTGGCTTTATGCTCTCTCCCCATCTTTCAGTTTGGGTGATTTGATTTGCTCAGATAACCTAATGTATGGTTTTTTTGTAGGTGTAGGTAAATAGATCTTCCACTAATCTCTCTGAAATCCTGTCAAACTGCTAGCACTGCCAAATGCCCAGAGCAATGTCCTGTGCAACAGAAGGAAAACCATGAAGTACACGTTAATCTTTAGCCTTGTAACTCAAATACCTTCATTGATAAAAGTGATTTGTCGGAGAGAAGTGAGCACGTGGTTTTGTTCAGGCTGGTTTTATTTGCCTTTCTTTAGAAATACAACAGTTCTTGTTGAGCAAGACATTTGGATCTAATCTACCCAGAGTCACTATTTAGGTCATGTTCTAAAACCCAGAAACATGGTATGGTCTCTTGTAGCAGTGTTGATGGGAAGGTGACAAGACCAGTCAGACAAAATGATGTACCCTTTTTAAAGTAAGATTCTTGTTTGCCTTTAACAACCTTGTGAATCTGTATCTTGTAAATCTCTGGGTTTGACTCTGTAAACTAAGATAAGCTGTAAAAATGCTGTATTGGAGGCAAATGCTGGAACATTCTTAAGAAGTATAATTGTTTCTTCTGCTGCACCTCCTAGAAAAATGCTTGCTTTCCAATTCCCAGTGAAAGTGAACCAGGCCCTGATCTACTGCTAACTTGTATCAACTGGAGCAAGGTTGGGGCTTGGTACAAGTCCCGACTGTATCATTTAAGCCCATTCATAAGGAGGTAGACTTCATTTTAGACAGGCTCATCTACTCAGCACACTGTCTGCTCACCCTAGCCAGGTGTAAGAAGTAAACTGTCACCAGTTGGATCAATGAAAAGAGTAACTTATGGAAAAAGCAGTCTTCATGTATTTTGCAGATGACACCAAGTTGGGAGGGAGTATTGATCTGCCTGAGGGTAGAGAAGGCTCTACAGAAGTACCTGGACAATCTGGGTCGATGGGCTGGGGCCAATTGTATGAGATTCAACAAAGCCAGGTGCTGGGTCCTGCCCTGGGGTCACAACAACCCCAGGCAACACTACAGGCTTGGGGAAGAGTGGCTGGAAAACTGCCCAGATGAAGACGACCTGGGGGTGTTGGTCAACAGCAGCTGAACATGAGCCAGCAGTGTGCCCAGGTGGCCAAGAAGGCCAACAGCATCCTGGCCTGCATCAGGAATAGTGTGACCAGCAGGACTAGGGAAGTGATTGTTCCCCTGCACTGGTGAGGCTGCACTTCCAATACTGAGGCCAGTTCTTGGCCCCTCACTACAAGAAGGACACTTTGGTGCTGGAGCAGGTCCAGAGAAGGGCAGCAAAGCTGGTGAAGGGTCTAGAGTTTGAGTTCTGTGAAGAGCAGCTGAAGGAACTGGGGATGTTTAGTTTGGAGAAGAGGAGGCTGAGGAGAGACCTTATGATTCTTTATAACTATCTAGAAGGAAGTTGTAATGAGGTGGGGGTTGGTCTCTGCTCCCTAGCAACAAATGATGGGATGAGAGGAAATTACATCAAGTTGTGCCATGGGAGGTTCAGGTATTGGGAGGTTGGATATTAGGAAAAACTTCTTCACCGAAAGGGCTGTCAGGCACTGGAAAAGGCTGCTCAGGGAAGCGGTGGAGTCACCATTCCTGGGAATCATTAGAAGATGTGTAGATGTGACACTAGGGGAGATGGTTCAGTGATGGACTTGGCAGTGTTACTTTTACGGTTGGACTTAATGATCCAAAAGGTCTTTTCCAACCTGAGTGATTCTGATTCTGTATTTTTTTGAGTCTTCATTCTGCTTTTTCTCCTTAATAATTATTCCACAACTCTAATTCTTCCATCTAACTGTTAAGATAATTCAGTCCCTAATTTCCATTTTAATGCAGCTGAAAGCAGATTTATCTAGAGTATTTTACAGTAAAAGTATTACAATGTATGTTTTATTATCTGGTTCTTGACAGGTAAGATTTAATTTATATAATGTAAGCGTGAAGACAAAGAGCTTTGCGTGTTCATTCCTAGGAGTCACTTCGTTAAGATACTTTTTCCAAAGCAGTCCCTTAGGTCTAACCACAAAACCACCAAGCACAGGAGTAGCTCTCTTTCAAATTAATGCAGCAGGTGAGGACATCACAGACAGACAACAGTGTGACATTCCCCAAACAGCAGTACCTTTGTCATGAAATAACAGCAGAAATACTGCGTAGCTCGAGGATGTAAAAACAGAAGCAGACCTTTTGCACAGATCCCACACCTGGAAGCAGAGCCACTTTGTAAGGCAGAAGCCATCCTTAAGCTGCTGAGGAAATTGTGAAGTGGAGAAAATGCCTTTCTTCAGGGGCAGTAGTCAGGACCCTTTCCTGAAAGGTAGTTTAGTTTCCTCAGTGCTGCTAAGTATGAGAAATATTTTTATAACATGAAACATCAGTTTTATCTCCTCCTTTTCAGAGCAAGTTGTTTTTTGTTTTGGTTTGGTTTTTTGTTGTTGTGGGTTTTTTTCTTGGTCTTTTATTTTAAATATATGTAGATACATTTTTAGTTTTGGAGCTTTTGTTGGTTTTTTTTTTCTGTAAGATAATATGAACACAGCAACATCTTGCAGAGACAGAACTTTACTTATAGCCTGGAATGCTGCCAAAACTCTTGCTGCTACATATCCACACAAAATCTGTCCACTTTGAATATCCTAACCACCAAAATGTAATAGGGGAAGAAATACAAAGAACACAAGGAGTGTCAGGAGCTTCTCCCTGCCCAGACCACAGCCCAGCCCCAGCAGGTCAATGCAGATGCCAGGGCAGGACATCCCAGGGTGTAAATGTGGTTCTTCATGAGGAAGATCTGCTAATGGTGGCTGGTGTGGAAATAGCTGGCACTGAGGCACACACAGCCCTTGGCAGTTCTGGTCCCATGGAGATGCTCAACATCACTCTGTGTATTTCTCAGCTGGGCTGCATTTGCTCAGTGCTGAAATGATTTCACTGAGCACAGCAGGGCAATGTTGGAAGGAGCAGAGGAAGAGCCCAGCTGACCTCGGGCTTGTGGCAAAGAGTTTTTCAGGGAAGCCACTGCCCAGGACCGGGAGTCTGGGAAGAAGTATTTTTGAGAGACCACCACACCCAAATGAGGGAAGGATTGTGTTGATCATAACTTAGCTCCCAACTCAGTCACAAACATGAACTTGACAAGCCTGCCAACTTAGCAGCTTCATTGACTTAGATCTCAAAACATAACGCCTCTGTAACGTAGCCCTCCTCTTTCTCCCTCCCTACATGGCCTGAACATCATTTCTGGAGGTCTGGGTTCTCCTGTAGACTTTTTTTTAGGAACTCAGTGCCTGATTTAGAGAAAGCTCAGTTGACTCTCCTCAAAGGTTTCCTTCATTAAGAGTAGAGCTGATGTGCTGTCTCTAGGCTAGTTGCAACAAGGCAGTTCTGTAAAGCTCACCAAAGGAATTGCCAGCTCCACTCCACAAAAAAGAAACCAACAAAACAAAACAAAACAAACAAAGACCAAACCCCCCCCAAAAAAAACCAAACAACCCTGAACATATTTCAGTTGTGAAAAAAACCAAAGCAAAATACAAACCAAAAAAAGCTTTTTCATTAGAGTGAAATCAACATCCATCACAGATAGGTTGACTGTGATGCTTGTTCTTTTAATTTCCCTAAAGGTTTGGGGTTGGGCAGTTTCCAATAAGGATGTCTCTATTGATACCTAGACCACAATCTGCCCTAAGTTAATTTTTAAAGAGGTTTGGTTTTATTCAGTAGAAATAAGTTTGGGTACCTTAGAAATACTTGAGCATGGTGTGTTCTTTGCCAGTTCGTTGGTATTTTTAAACTGCATTCTTGACGTGAGCCATAAAATAATGTCTTTGTCACATATGCTTTTTGTATTTTTTTAGGAGCACCTGAAAGCTTTTGATCGGGAAGTAAATGAGTTTGTGGACTATATGTTTGGGCCTCGAGGTAAGCTGCTCCAACTACAGCCCTTTTAGGAAATAATACCTAGATTGCCACTCAAAAATCTTCTAATAAATAGAAGAAGTAAAAATCTTCTTATTGGAATAACTTCTTATGTAAAAATTTAGACTAGGCAGAATCACGGTACTTGCAGGAAGACACCATTAATTTAGCAAACGTATCAATTCACTGCATTTATAAAAAGCCAACAGCTTTTTGTTTTGACTCTATGACATATTATTATCTGTAACACAAATTAAAACCCATCACAGATTATAGTGAAGGTGAAAGAAGAAAATAAACAGATTTATTTTTAAACTTAAAAAATTCACTAGATTTAAGAGTCCTTTTCCTCTGAAAATCTCAAAGGATTTCAGTTTTACATCCTGAAGTAGATTAAAAAAATTGAAAACCTGAGTTTTTCTGAAAGTGGAAGATCTGTTTTGGGATGGATTCTCATTCCTCAACTAGTTACTGCTTGGTCAAACTACCTATCAAATAGCCTAATTCAGAAGAATGTTCAGAGCAAAAGCAAGAAAGGGCTTTTAGGACCCTGCAGGATCACATCCAAAATTTCAGTAAATCAATAGACAGGTTGGGAGAACAGATGCATCTACTTCCCTATTCTTTCTTTCTAAAACAGTCTGGACAAGGATAACTTGAATAACTATAGCTTGAAGATGCCTCCTGCTTTGTTAGGACTGAAACAAATAATAAAAAAACCTAAACAAACGACAAACCCAAACCTGAAACAGAACCACAGGAAGAAAGAGAAAGGCTAGCAATGTGAGGACAGAGCGTCAAGGTCTGGGCTATGGGAGCCAAGCACAGAATCACAGAATCACCAAGGCTGGAAAAGACCTTTAAAATCATCAAGTCCAGTCTATGACCTAAGAGCACCACATTGGCTAGACCTAGAGGAACAGGAAGTTAGGGAGTAGATAATCTTCAGAGAAGATCCCTGTAAGGCCACCTTGCTGCTGATAGGGCTGGGCTTAAACATTCCAGTTCAGGAATTGTCTGCCTTGTAAACTTCTTCCCATGGTTAAATCCAGAACTGCTGCCACATGGATGGACTTAGGGTTATGTATTCTCATCTGGTTGCAATAATGTTCCCCAGGTCTCAGAAACAGTTTTTTCTTAATTAAGAGGAGAAGGGAAAGAAAGTTGTAGCATCCTTCAAACAAAGGAATCCTCATTTTTATTACCTGGCTGGCTGCAAAATCTTTTCCATCATCTCTGCAGTAGATGTAAAGCTTGAAAGAAAGCTCTCTGGTGAAGAAACACTGAACAGCTTGGAAACTGCAGCAGAACTCATTAAAACAAAACAAGTTTTATTAGTGACTTTGACAATAGTGCGTTTTAATATTAACCAAGTAATGGGATCACAAGCACGGAAGTACTACTAATTTTTTTTCTTTCAAATGGGCTGGATATTCTCCTTCATTCCTCTTTCCTCTTTGGTCCAGAACAAATTGTCTGAAGGAACAAACTGCAGTTTGTGCAGAATACCACACATGTCCTTTTGGGCTTTTAAAAAGCACTTTAGTTAAATGAGTATGACTTGTATTACTTGCTAAGTACAGCACAATCCCTCTCCAGACATTAATGCTGAAGATGATATTTGTTTGCCTGTATCTCTTTACTCTGATCTTTAATTTAACTGGTGGTATAATGACAGAGTATCATACATTTTGTGAATAACGTAGCTCCATCCAATGTGTCTAATCACATAAATAATTCACGATAAACTGCAAACAGTTTTAAATTGGGTAGAATGACATGGCAAATGAAGACCTAATGAATTTCTGAGAGCTTCTCCAAATGTCTATAGCCAAAAAACTATCCCTCTCTTTCCCCCAATTTTCATCCACAGTACACTCTTCATTCAGCAGCAAGATGGCTTAAAAGGATAGACAGCAGTGCTCTCTTTTTTAAAAAAATAAACAATCCCCTATTTATGGTAGTAACTTCTGAAATATTGGTGTCACTGGCCTGGTTGTAGTCATAGTTACAAGATGTGGCTGAGGGCATGAGAAGAGACAGAAAGCCACACACTAGTTCCCAGAGGCAAACTCTGCTGACATTAATAATACCAAGCTAACACAAGCTGCAGTACTGCACTACTAAAGGGCATACAATCAAAGACCAGGATTCTATTTTATATAGGCATATTCTGTGCCTTCATTCACTGGTGTTAGCTGGACATTGTACACAAATTTACCTCAACATTTGCTTTTGAACTAGCAGACCAACTCCTATAGAAGCCATGTACGAGCCCATCAGTTCTATCTCTTGATAAGAAGTGGTTTTACAGTCTGATGTTGGTCCATATTATTCTGGAGAGCAGATTATCTAGGCTCGAGTCAAAATGAGAAACAGTGAAATAACTATTTTATTCTGTAAGAGAGCATTTTCCAGGGTCACCTTCATCTGAAGAGTATCTTTTGGTGTTATGTAAAATTAAAGAATATTGAATTGCAGAATCTTAATTTATTTAATTGGTTGCTAGTTTTACTAATCAAACAAAGGTGGTCAAGAATAGATATATTTTAATAAAGTTATGACAAAGTCATAACTACTCCTCCTCTTCTCAATTGAGTATGAACAGTAACAAGGCATCAGTGTAAAACCACCTACCCTCTGCACCTCAAAAAGGTCTGAATCTAATCAGACGTTTGCTGGCCAAAGCTATACAGAAACCTGAATCAAAATGCTTCTGAGCCTCAATGATAAAAGCCTGATACCTTTAAAGAGCCTGAGAGGCCTGCCACTCATTTCAAAGGAGCCAGGATTTCACCCCACGGGTCTGGCACATGGTGACCAGTGACTGTGAATGAGCTTATTCAGGGAACAACCAGAGCCTGTGGGCTCCTTGCTCTGCTGTAGCCCAGTGCTCTCACACTGTGGCTGATTCACTGTCTGGATCTCAAATTCAGATGCTGTGTGGGTTCAACATTGTCAACATAGTCCTTTCTCCTGATGACACCCTACCTTTGTAGTACTTGAACATAGAGATCAAACTGTCTGGCAATGGAAATACATTTGATCCCTCCTTTTTCTGATAACTTTTTTCTAAATTCATTCCCCTTCCTCTCCCCCTCTGCCACATAAAAACCTCCCTTCTTTTGTCATTAAGGGATAAGTGCAAGTGTAACTAAAATAAACACCTTCCTTGGCTGCCGTTTATAAGTCACTTTCTGCCAATAGCTGTCTTACCCTGCAAGGTACCAGGCTGGAAAACAATCAGTAAAAGGGTCCATGTTTTAATAATTTCTCTTGAAATGGAAATAGGATAGATCTTCCTTGACATGCTGACCTGGACAAAGCAGACAAGTTCTGCTTTTGTGTGGATCAGCCCACATGCCTGTGGCCACTCACAGCAGAGTGTGAAAACTTCCTGAGGGTACACTGGGGCAGCATTTAATGCTGGTTAGTTTAATTTATATTCACATCTCTTCCACTTTTCCTCTTTGAGCAAACATGCTCTTTCATTAGCTACTGATGCCAGCTGGCCTTTGTGCAAGCAACCTTTGTGCACTAAGTGTTGCAACCCTTAGATGGGGAGACCCTTCTATAGATATATTTCTGAGGAAAGAATAGTCAGAAGAAACACAGTAGAGCACAATTGCAGTTGCCAACTGTTTGTGAATGTTCAGGCACATTTGGTTTGTGCATCATGCATTGTCCAGTCCTTCCTAAATTTGACCTAGAAAGAAAAATTGTAAATTGTTTTTTCATGCCTGGGAATACCTCTTCTTCTTTTATAATTTTTAACATAATCTTGGTCTTTATTTAAAAAAAAAATAACTATTTTTCAATAGTTTCTAAGAGCACAGAGAACTACTGTGACCTGCACAATAGCACTGCACTTATTTCTTCCCTTACTCCACAAATCACGACAAATGTTGAGTAAACTTATTTTAAAAACTAGCCATGATGCTGCTTGTTCTTTTTGTAGATAAATGTCTGAATATTGTTGCTGTGGAAAATCAACTCTAAATGTTGCTCCATCTTGAAAAAAAGGAAAAACACTCCTTATGCTCATCACATCCACTTGCTCATAGGACAATGAAGTGGTGCCTCCAGACTGGCATATAGGATTAGGCTTTGCTCATATACACTGAACTATCTGATTACTGCCAATGGGATTACTTGTGTGAATAAGGCAAGCAGGATTTGACCTTAATATTTCATTGCAAGACCAGGCAAATGGGACAGAAACTGTAAAAAAGCAAGCCCTTGCTTTGCCAAATATCTCTGATAATGATCGAAGTAAACATTTTTCATAATTAATGCTTTTGTAAAATCCTACCCTATGTATAAATGTTTTCTATAAAATGTTTTGTACCTTCATAGTTATATGGCAAATGCAGAATTAAAATAATAGATGAGCTGATTTTACATGCACACTTTGTATTTAATACTATCTGCAAGCTATCCATTAAACATATTAATATTTTAATTAACTATTACATTAAAACACTAAATGATTTTTTTTAAGCATACAGTAATATTTTTCTTCTTTTTCATGTTCACTCTCCTGTTAAAATGAGATTTATGTGACATTAAGTTATTAGGGAACACCATGCAGTTTTCAGCAAGCATTCTCTGAATTAGTATGCAGCTTTGGGGAGGTGAAAGCAATGGATAGCTCTTGTGAGGAAATCACAGCAGATTCCCTCTCATGTTTTTAGAAGACTTTTTAATTATGTGATCTGCCTTATTTTAGCAGTATTTTACTATGGCCTTCTTAACTGCCTGCTGCATGTGTTTCTTTTCAGATGCCAGGGTTAGAGGATGGTTCCTTTTGGACTCTTACCTTCCCACATTTTTCCTTACTGGAGCTTACCTGCTCTGCATATGGCTGGGCAACAAGTTCATGAGGAACAGACCTCCTTTCTCTCTCAGGGCTCACCTCATTGTATATAACCTTGGGATTACACTACTCTCCTTGTACATGCTTATAGAGGTAAGTGTTCCTCCACGCACCTCGGCTGAGAAGGATGAGCAATATTCAGGTTTTAGCAGAATTATCTCAGCAACAGATAATTTTGCTGGCAAATTTAACATCAGCAAAGTAAATTGGAGACCAAGTCCCTGAGCAATTGGACAGTGAGTCGTACTCAGCTTTGATCTTGGTATGTCTTAACTCTCCTCCTTCCTGAGCTATAGATCACACCTGGGTACAGCTGGCTGCTGCCAAGACAGTGTCTACAAGCATGAATTTGAATCTGCAGCAGTTGGTCAGCTCAGACATGCCTCCACCTCATTCTTCAATACCATGAGTATGCACACAGATTGGGTTTTATTCATATAACTGCCTATGGAATTATTTTTCTACGTACAAATGCCCGTGCTTACATGTGAACAGATTTATAGATGAAAATAAGTACTTTTTAATTTATGGTATTGGTAATTCAAGGGTTTTTTTCTGCTTTCCTGAATAAGAAGCTTTTCTCATAATCAGACAGTAAGAGACAGATGTTAAAAACCTGCCACTTCAGCCAAAACCAAGTGTTGTGTGATTTGAGGCTGAATATCTTCACACATATTATTTCCCAAGTACTTAGCAGGAAGGAACATGTTCACAGAAATCAGGATCTATTCAGAACCAGAAGAGAGGTTTGAATGCATCTGACAATTTTGCAAGAACAGAGGGTTCATACAGTGCTCCTCAGCAAAGATGTGTGTGTTTGTACCTCCCCAGTGAGGAGCAGAAGACAAAAGTCACTATTTTTCTTTCAATTGGGATTGCCCATTCTCAACCTTGTGGTAACACTTAATATTAAGTACCTCAGTTAACATCCATCCCTTGTGGCCCTAAAAACCAAACACTAAAAGACAAAACTCACAAAACATTATCTGACGTGGTTTAAGAAGTGACACTGGGCACGATAAACCCTGGCTGAAGGACATGCTTGATCTCATGGTGTGAACTGACAGGGCTGTCTTGCCTGCCCAGCCTCATAGCATTTCTTCTTCCCTGGGCTCCTGGCCACAACAGCAGTTTCCACAAGAAAAAACAAGGACTAGCTGTTACATCAGCTGGATGAGAAACTATGCTGAAGCCGAACAGGACCCCAAAGATTTCAAGTTTTAAAATAATTTGAAATGAACTCCAGGTGACTGGCCCAGCTCAAAGGCTGAACGACAGTTTAGGTTTGTGCCTTTGTGCAAAGGACGGATTATACTACACAGGGCTTTGTCCTGGTCAAATCTCCAGTTGGCTTCAGCTGTGGCTGTGGGTATCTGAGAGTGCAGGATCAGGCTTACAGCAAAGGAGAAAACAGCACAATGGCTGGAAGGTTGGATGACTCCATGCTGATTGTCCTCCAGAATTTGAATGAGCACTTTGATGTTTAAATCCCCATTTTGCTTGCAGGCACACAGATAACTGTCTTCCGTGGCAGCACTCAGCAAAAAGGATTGACTGAAGACAAAACAAAAACATCTCTTCCTTCTCCTTGCAGGCTCCTTTGGCCTGCCACAAGTAAATGAATGAACAAAGAGAATTTTAGTAGCTTCCAGCCATGTGAATTTGGCTTACTTGGTTTTTGCCACCTTCACATCCTTGTAGGAATTGCATCCAGCCAGTTCCTGTTCAGCCACCTCACTGTCCTGTCCTGTCCTTCCTGAGGCTAACTTTACAGCACATGATCGCCAAGTTGCCTTAGTCCTCAGATTAGTTCCTTTGTCCTTTGAATCTGTGGCTGGAGGCTGCTGATTTATACTTCCCAGGCTGCAGCTGGGCATGGGTGGCAGTGGCTCATATCTCCATGTTCTGCATTTTTCAGGAACACAAGAGACATACCAACCAATTTGCACTGCCAGCTGTTCTACTGCAGATTTCACTCTTAGCTCTGGTGTGTCAGCCAGTCTGGTTTTACACTGTAAAAAACACCCATCCACAGTAGCAGCTTAATATTTTTTTCCATAGTCTACTTTCCTGGTTCCTATTACAACTTCTGTGACGGGGCCAGAATGGAATTTGAGACTGTCAGACCTGCCTGGGGAAGCTTGTACATCCCTGCTGAAAGAAAACAGGCGAATGGGAGAGCAAAAATAGTTTTCAGAACTGAATGAAGTTATAGTTACTTAACATTTCAAACTGTGTCGTTCCCAAAGCTTCTCTTTGGCCCTTATTCTGTCTTTTATGGACAGTAAGCTCTTTAGGGCAAGAGTTACCTATATTTAGAGCATTCTGCACAGTGGATCCTTATGTAAACACAGGTGATCCCTCAAGTGAGAATGATTCAGGATTAACTCCTCGTTAGAGACATCTGTAAGAGTTGTCTTATTCCCTCATCCTCCCACTGCACCTGAACTCCTAGTCTCTGTACAGAGATATATCACAAAATAATAAGCTCGTATTAGAGAAAAAAACCCAACCCACTGAATGGCATTGTTGTTCTTCTTGGTCTTGTTTAGGAGGTGCCACACAACTTTTCTTCTGATAACTCCAGAATACAGTGGGTGCTTCTCAAACATTCAAAAGAAAAATATCTCATTCAAAAGAAAGGGTGTAACTCCAAATCCAGACTGTCCCACATGACAGTTTTAACGAGAAACACAATTTTTCACCTCCTCCTCTTCATCTCCTGATCTAGTTTAGCTGTCCCTTGACTACAGTTGATATGTACAACCTCAAGGGAAAAAAACAAAGGTTGTAGCAAGGAATCATAACAAACAGGCTGTTTTTAAACCTCCAAAGGCAGATTCCTCTTTTGAGCCAGATTTTCATATGCTGCACCAAGTATCTGGGAGCCAATTTTATCTCCATGAGCTTTGAGTCTACCAATTTCTAAAGTACTTGGAGAAACAGCTACAGGGCAACTCTTAAGATGTCTCATGAGCAGATAGGTCAGATACCCCTACTGTGCCCAAAGGATAAGGTTAAAAAAAAAATTAAAGTGTCAGTTGTGCTCAGCTACCCTCATCCTACTGAGATGACTCAAAATTTTTGTGTCAAGAGTTAAGTGCCTTTGAAGACCTCCCAGAAGGGCAGTTTATTAGACTTTTAGACTTCTGAGTTAGGCAAATTGATTTTCTTCAAGTCATGAAAGGCACTTACCCCTCCCCATTGACTACAGTGGAGAAGTAGGGCACTTGGCTTTGCAGGGAGCACCTGAAGCTTAGATGCAAGTTCAGGGCTTATATTAGGCAGACTGCAAATGTGCTGCCAAGGGGTCAGGAGACAATCCCCTCCATCCTTGCTGGTATGAGAGAAGCCTGCAGCAGAGGCTTGTTATTGTTTGCACTTCTGTACCATTATGTGTTCATAGGCCCAGATCAAGCCTACTAATCCAACAGTTACTACTAACATGGACAAAATTCTGTATTAAGAAAAACAGCCACCACCTTTTAATTTTAATAAAAATAAAAACTTTTAGCAATTTCACTGAAGAGAAATAAGCTTTTCCTCTACATACATCTTTGCCTAAGATCCTATAAGTACCAATTACGAGCAGAAAACCAGATTACTGTGAAAATAAATCAGGTCTTTAGATATTTTTAAATTATTTCATGCCCAAGTCAGCTCACAAATGCACTCAGGAATGCAACATGAGGTGCCAGAGGCCATGATAAGGTTTTTAAGTTCACTGCAGGATAAACCTCTCTCAATTCCAATGAAAAATTAAAACTGGAACCAAAGCAGACCTGAGCTCTGAATTGTGAAATTACTCAGGTGAGGATAGTCTCTCATTAACAGGAAAAGACATAATCTCTACCATAGTCTTAGCTGCTTTCCCCAGCAGTATCACCTCTGCCCTATCTAAATTAAACCTCAGCCAGTCATCAAGCTCTTAACCAAGTCCTTTTGTTGATAAGGTACTGAGAAAACCAGGACATTGGCACCATCTGGGTCAGATTAAAAAGGATATATAGAGATACATGTCATTAACTTAAGGGTGGCGTGATGTCTAAAGCTGCCTGTATCCCCAGGTAGCTTCACAGACTTATTACAAATCCTATGGATTTGTAAGCAAGCAACCACATCCAGGTGGGGAAGCAGGACTGGCATGTGAGGACCCCTCAATTCAGAGCAAAGAGGAAAGAGCAGAATTGCACAAGTAGTGCAAACCCAGTGCATCAGCCCTTTTTGCAAAGCCAGAAGTGCTTTACCGTAATATATAAATAAATAAATAAGACTAAATTACCTTCATTTTGCTCTTTCTAAGAGCTGAAAATGCACCCCACAGTAAGTCCAAATGCTGAATTGTAGTTATGACTTGCAGATCCACAAGTGCCAAGACAATGTGAGCATTCCCAGGAGTACCAGAATTGCCGTCATTGTACCCTCTGATAGCAGGGAAAGGCCAGAAGCTCAATGCTGGCACAATCAGGATCACCAACCACCTTTTTTAGCCCTACACATTGCAACTGAGATTACAACTCACAAAGTACTGTAAAGCCTGGTATAATGCCTGGCTTTGGGATAACTAGGCAAAATGAAAAGAACAAACAAAAAATAGAAGGAGCACTTAAACTCTTAGTCCATTATTATAGTGGCTGACATCAGAAGAATTTGCTTCCTAACTGTGTAAGAGTTAAAAAGATACAGCTTGAGTAGCAAAATGTCTGTGCAAAGTTTTAACAGTCCAGGTGATGAGGAAAGGTCAAAGAGACATAGATCCTAGCTGATTTGAACTGTCCTGGAATTTTACTATACAAATCCAACTTCTGCAATCATTGCTACTTTATAATTGTAATAAATGATTGTTTACTCCTTCATTGATTGTTCAGAAGTTAGTGAATGTAAATTTGGCAGAGAAGAATTATGTTAGATCCATAAGGATTGCAGCTTGAAGCAAAGGCTTCCTTTGAAATAATTCTTTAATTAGGACAGAAAGACAGTCCCAGCTCTAGGGGAAAAAGAGGAGAAGACCAAAGTGAGAAACAAGAAGAGATCAGGTGCAGTCTTCTGTCATTTAGAAGAAGGGAGAAGCGAGGAAAAAAACTGGACAGCAAAAGGTCACTGAGAGTGCAGTGTAAAGCAGTAGAATGTAAGAACTAAAGCAAACAGCCTTTTGAGCAATTAAAAACGTTGCCTGAATAGAGTTAAATTTCCAGGTGTTCTTCTGTTTGGAGAGCTGAGGAGCTGACTCTGCTGTCCTTGCCTGCAGTTATTCTAGCTGGACGTGTTGTCCTCACTACTCAGTTTTCATCCCCTGAGTTTTCAGTGTTTTTCCTACTGACCTTTCTGAGCTCTGCATTCAGGTAGAACACTTAGCCTGTTCATCAAAAAGGCACTGCTCTGGATTTCATCTGTGCATTCAAATAGCATTCAGTAGAACTTCAGTGGAAATCAACAGTAAAAATTCATGATGAAGTTTTTTTTCATGTCAAAAGCTTCTTGTACCATCACTGGTACCACGAAGTAACATACAGGAGCTCTTTGGAATAGGAGACAGAATCAAGAATTAATCAGAAATAAGCATAGGAGGTATTTCTTTTAGGCTATTCTACTATCCTAGATAACAGCAACACAAAGGAATTATCATTTGTAACTAAGTTCAAGTAATTTGAAGTCATTTTGTCACGAATCCTTATAGCACTCTCCCATTTCCTTAAGGGGTATTAAGTGGGTCTGGTTGGGAGTTTCTCAATAACATGACTTTGCATTTGAAAGAGTTTTTGTTGACAAAAAAAATCCAGAAATGTATCAAAACTTCATCTGGGAAGGGACTTTTATTTTGTCACTGTGACTTTAACTGTCTGACCTTAAAATAAGAAGAAAACATGGGACCACTTACTTCCTCCTCTCTGGAATAGCTGGTATCCTTACAAATCAGAATGCTCCCACAGGATAAGAGACCCAACAAGGAGTCCAGCTGTACATATTGTGGGTCAGGATAACAACCCCTGTAGGTGTATTAGTAGTGTGTATTACAGAATTAGTCAATCTCCTTTGGGGGACATAATGTATGAAATTATTTGAACTCTGACTAGACCCACAGAAAGCCAAGAGAGCCAAGAGTCAATAGATCCAGGGAGGAGATGCCATTCACAGGGACTAACAAAAGTCTCCTCCTACAGCCAAGTGAAATAGGTGGTTCACATCACTGCAAGTTAGACTCTTTTTTCCTCTACACAGACAGATCAGTCTCCTTATTTAGTTTGGCAAGACCTCCATTGCTTGAGAACACTGACCAGAAAAAGTTTTAATTGGCCTTAGGGCTGGAGTCCCAGAGAAAAACAAGTAAAACATCATACACATAATTTCAAGAGGCTTCTTGCTTTATTTTTTTTGTAAGAAGGATAGTAGTGCTCATCCTCATACTCTGAACTTTAGAGAGGAATTTAAATTATTTGAACACTAATTCCCATGATTAGGTTTTGTCTTCCCCTTCTGAACTGTTTCCAGGTAGACAGATAATATAATATACTGGATAAACTGTTTAGCTTGAAGGACCTACAATGATCATCTAGTCCAACTGCCTGACCAATTTGGGGCTGACCAGAAAGATAAAGCATGTTGTTTGGGGCATTGTCCTCTGAAACACTGACAGGCTTAGGGCATTGCTTACCTCACTAGGAAGGCTGTTCCAGTGTTTAAGCACCCTCTCTGTAAAGAAATACTTCTAAATGTCCAGCCTAAACCTCCCACGGCACAGCTTTGAGCCATTCCTATGCATCCTGTCACTGGATCCCAAGAAGAGCAGATCAACACATCCTTCTCCACTTCTTCTCAGGAAGCTGTGGAGAGCAGTGAGCAGTCTTGTTAGTCCTCTACAAACTAGAATAACCCAGAAACCTCAGCCACTCCTCACAAGACATGCCTTCCAGCCCCTTTCTCCAGCTTTGATCCACTCCTCTGAACACAACAAAGGACCTTCACATCCTTCTTACATTGCAGGACCCAGAACTGCACACAATGCTCCAGGAGAGGCTGCACCAGCACCAAATACAGCAGGATAATCCTCTCGCTTGACCAGCTGGTGATGCTGTTTGATGCACCCCAGGACAGTTTGCCCTCTGGGCTGCCAGGGCACCCAGCTGGCTCACACTGACCCTGCTGCCGACCAGCACCCCCAGATCCCTTCCTGCAGGGCTGCTCTCCAGCCACCCCTCCCCCAATTTGTACTTGTGCTCAGCACAACCCAATCCCAGGCACAGAACCCAGTATTTCAACTTGTTAAATTTCATCCCACTGAACACATCTAAATTCTCCACCTGTCCCACAGGAGTCACCAGCAGCTCCCAGTTAGGTATCATCAGCAAACCTACTGCTGGTGGATTTAACACCTGCATCTAGATAATTGATAAAAATACTGAACAGAACTGGTCCTAAAATTGAACCCTCGGGGACAGTAGTGCTGACCAGTCACCAGCCAGATATAACCAGGTGCTAGTGCCTCACCACACACCTTTCTCCTGCCCTAGGAAAAAGGACAATATGTTGTTGCTTCAAGGAATTTTCTGAGAAAGCCCAACACAGAGAGCTTTTTCTACAACTCAAAGATCACACAGCAACCACAGTGAGATTTTAGAGGCTGAAATCTTGGCATGAGAAGGGGCAGACCCCTGGGTCCAGGCTCTTTGTGCTTAGTCTGCTACTCAGCAACATGAGAGGGTTTGGCACCACTTCTGCTGCCCCCGCCCCACCTTCAAGATTCCTTTACAGAGGAACCAGGTCTCATTCCTGAACAATGTGATTTCCCATTTTTAAAAAAAGGCCTGAACTGAACTACTGCAGAAAAGCAAGTGTTGTGAATCTTCATGCTGTTTATACCTAAGGAGGTGCATAAAGGGCATTTATCAAAGTAAAAACTGGAATCTATTAACAACAACAACATTAGGAAAACAGTAAAATATGAGAACTCTACTAATTATCAGGATGTTGTTACTTAGCAGAAGTTTTTCACAAGGCAGTGCTTCCATCTTTATGTGATCTGTTTTTCCAAATAGTTTTAAACAATGCATCTTTTAATATTATTTTCAGGTCAGGCTGCCAAGAATGCAAAACATTCAAAGAACTGTTTTCTAGAGAGAGACAATTTGTATTTTGAAAAAGAGAGAGGATTTCTCAACTCTTTCATACATTCTGCACTTGCACCATCTCTGCATGATTAATAAAGCCATCAGGTCTGCAGAGATGTGAGTGCTCAGCATGTGAAAGGAAACAGAAGTGAAACAGTACAATCAACTTATGACTTTGGTATCAAAGAGACCTAGTAACTGAATGTTTGGAGTCAAGGTGTCAGCTTCTCCTTTAGGTATGCAGCTGGCTGGTTTAGTAGCATGGGATAAGCTGCTTACCCTTCCACATCCTTGGTAGCCAACATGAAAGTCATGGCCCAGGATTACCAGGATTCCAGAAATGTACTTGCTGCCTTCCAAGCTTCCCCACTAAATTTTCATTAGGAAGCTAGACAGAAGTCTTGAAATTAGATAGCAAAATAGAGCAGTCAAAACTCAAACTGGATTGTCCTCTTTTCTGTAAGGAGGACCTGTCAGTATGTAAGGCACCTACAACAGAGAAATGTTGAACTACAGAAATGCTGACATGAAAGAGCAAGGTTAAGACAGTCAAAGCAGATCTTCACTTTAAGCTGATCTTGTTACACAGCCACAAATCAGAGGGAACTCTTCTGCTGAGTCAAACAAGGAGCAGTAGGCACACAGTACAATCTGCACAACCTGGCGTTATACAGAATAATGGAAGAATGAACAAAAGAAATTAAAGAAAACCCTGCAATCAGAGAGTGGTATTCTGACCCCAAAGCTTCCTCTCCATTTGCACACTGACCAGTTGTGAGGAGCTGCAGATTTCTCAAATGCCAAGTTAAAATTTCATTATATTGAAAAGAATTTTTGTTCCCCCTAAGCCTTTAAGGGTTTTCTCTGTACAGAGGCAAAGAGACCTCAGAATATAAATCTCTTAATTTGGCCCCAGAAAGCACTTTCCACACATTCAAGAATAAACAAGACCTTTTTTAAAATTAATGGATTCTATATAGCATTTACAGACAACAGATTATGCTTCCTATTTCAAAAGGGCTGCTGGATGCTTTAGGTGATCATTACTATAAAAAATATTCCACATCAAAAGCCACCATGTGGCTTCCTAGAAACTTTCTCCTTCATCACAATTTAGTAGCCTGACATTTCATTGCTTTTCTTGCTTCCCAGTATGACATGCACTAAATCTAGAAGTTGCTTGTGTGTCTATTCATGTCTCCATTCAGCACTGTGCCTCCTTTGGCTCTACTTCCTCCTGCATTTAACAGTACAGGATAAAGAGACATGCACCTGGCATTAGGAAATATTTCTCCCATTGGACTACTTTGGATTTGCCTTGTGTTTGCTTGCTTGTCATCAGGGATTTTTTCTCAAGGATGGTTTTGCAAAACTAGCTATGTTAAGCTCTATTCAAACTGCTTCAGGACAGAGTTGCAATATTCAAGAATGAGCTTCGGAGTGAGGTTCACTGAACTGGGTAATGAAATATTTTAATGGAAGCCTTGAAGGCTTTAAAGCTAAAGAAATGTAAAAGCTATACTGTTTCACTGTACAGCTCCAACCAAACGTGATGCCTTTTCCATTTCAAACCAGAAGATATTAGCAAGTTGTCTGGTTTAGGAGCATCAGTTCCCAGAAGGAGTGGGAACCCACCATACTCCCCATCTTGCTTTTTTCAATACAGAACAACTGCAGGGGGAAAAGCCAACTTTTATATTTGCTCATGAACGTAATTGCTGTGTTTTCTTTCCCAGCTCATCCTTGCCACGTGGGAAGGAGGCTACAACTTGCAGTGCCAGAACCTCCACAGCGCAGGGGAGGCTGACATCCGGGTGAGCCACGGCAGCAGCTTAGCCCCCATGCCCACAGCACAACACTTCTGCCTTCACCTCAGTTATAAGGCTGTTCCTGATGACATCTTTACCACTGGGGTTTTAATCAAGTTGCCTGACAGCTAGGAGCAGACAAGTGTTCTCTTTCTGATCCAAAACAGATGCAACCTTGCTGTAAAAAGTACAACAGGGAGTATTTTAAAAAGCCATACATCGAGATCAGTGATCAAAACAGTGTTGCCTGACTGTTAAAATAGAGAATATAGATCACTAAAAAACTTGGGACAAAAATCAGTCATCTAAAATGTAACACTTGTTAGGCTGTGGCCAGAAATGGATTTAAGCCCAACTCTAAACTCCGGAAAACTGCAGAGGTATTTTTCTGGCTTGGCTCAGCTCTAGTTTCAACCCTTATTTCTGCATCACAACAATTCCATTTATTAACTCGCTGTTGTTCCCCAGGCCAGGCTTACTTTCCAGCTAATGTTAGAGCTCAAGAGCAGAAAAACTGGGTAACCAATATAATTTCCTCCAACCCTCAAAATTTGTCTATGTTACAGCAAAGAAAAGGTCAGTCAAATACGTTTTCCTGTCAACAAGGTGCTTTTCCCCTTTCTGTTTTAACTGCCTTGGGACACATCCTGAGCTCTGATACAGTGTCTCAACTCGAGAAGAGGGCATATTCCATTGTGTTGAGTGTCAAATGTGGATTATTTATAAAGAAGCTGCCAGCAAAATCTGTTCAGTGCCAAGAAAGAATAAATGGTAGCACCCTTAAAAACCCCACACAACTGTATATTTGATGGAACAGAACAATTATAAAACCCTTCCTCAAAGTTTGTATCTGTTAAATTATATTTAGGTAATTCTATATTTATACAATCACATTAGAAATGATGGGGTTTTTTTCAAAACCACTTCATTCAAAAGGAAAATAAAACCAAAGGCAGAGCTTGTACTTCTCTGTCAATAGGACAGTAATGCCTTTTGGGAAGTTGCATGCCTAGGGACTTTTTTTATTTAAGCCCTTTTATAAACAGATATTGATCTCCTGCTCCTTTGTTCTTGCTTGTACAGGTAGCCAAGGTGCTGTGGTGGTATTATTTCTCCAAAGTAATTGAATTCATGGACACTATCTTCTTTGTACTGAGAAAGAAAAGCAGTCAGATCACCTTCCTTCATGTGTATCACCATGCCACTATGTTTAACATTTGGTGGTGTGTTCTGAACTGGATACCCTGTGGGCAAAGTAAGTCTCTGTTTGCTTCATCACCTAGGGTGTAAGTCACCTGCTGCTGGAGGGGAATCACATCACCATGTAAAACAAGTGTATCACCATGCTACATGAGAGCACCTTTAAGGTTCATAGCCTTTCAGAACTGCCAAACACCTGCTGAGCACAGTAAAATTAAAATCATGGTTAAAAGATCAAGGCAAAAAAATATCCAGGTGCTAGGCTCTGTATTTTCCACTTTGCTGTCACAACCTCTCACATTTACTTTTCTTCAAACCACTTTTATACAGGATAACACTACTGAGTAGCACACAAGAATGACCACACACAAGTTCTACTAGTCCAAAAGCAGATGTAGGAGAAAATCATGACCCCTGTAAAGTCACTGTTAATCACAACATATGAACTCAACATTTTTCCATGGTTGACTCCTGAGTGCATCAATCTGACATTCTGCTTTAGCAAGATACTTTACTTTGCATAATAGCTAATCAAAATACCAACTTGAGTCTGTTTTGGTTTAAATGAGAATACATCCCATTCAAGTAGTAAAATTTCTGGACATCCAGAACTGATTGATGCAGTCTTACATTACATATCGAAACAGCAGAAGTAGCAGCATCTTTTGCCTTATTATATTTTGGGTTCAACATATTTCACTACGGCAATGTCTAAACAAGGTGGCTCTTATGAGGAATACAGACTCCCCTGTTGAGGAGGGGAAGATGCACAAGCTTGTGCCACAAGCTGCTCACTTTTCATTTAATAACACTAAATCCCAACAGCAGAGAAACTACTTCAAGGTGTCTCACAACATACACACTTTTCCAGAGTTTCATACAGCTGGAGCCTTCTTGTGGGATTGTTATCAGAATTGATGAGACAATCAGTTTTCTTACTTTGAGCTATTGAAGGGAGTCACTTCAGCCCACTGGAATATTTTGTAAAGCAACTTGTGGCAGGCGTTTCTCAGAACAAAAAGCAGAGTTCACATTAGTTGACACTTATTTTGGATAGCACAAGATCAAAGTAAAACACCCTTATAGGCAGAAGCAGAGATCAAGAATTTGATAGCCACAATGAGCTATTTCTACAGAGGTGTAAATAACATAGCAGGGGATTGTGCTTTCTATGTCTGAACTTATTCACCCACACTCTGCAGTAGCTTTGTCCTGGTATAGTTAACAGAGTGGGAAAATCAGTAACTAAATAATCAGCAATTAAGTAATTAATCAGTGGAAAAATCAAAACAATGGGTGAGACTATCTCGTAGTTGTCAAGCACTGCTCTCAAGCATGTGAGCATACAGCAGATGGAGTCGTGCTGCTACTTCTTAATAGCCTTAAAGTTAGTTAAAGGTACAGAGGATAACTCATTTGCTCTAGAAATAGTATTTACTAACTATAGCTGATCAGAGCGGCAAGGTATTATCTGAGGTGAAAATCTGCATCAACCAGGAGAGTCACCAAAGAAAACCACCCAAGGCAGCCACACTAGGCTGGTTTAACTCAGAGCAAAGCCCTTACTGCTGCACTTGGGAGCAGGAGGGTCGGTGCCTCCCAAGGCTGCGGTACCAGCAGCAGCCACCGCCCCCACCCCCCCTTTAAAGGGAGCAACAAAACCAGAGAGACTCATGCAAAAGAGAACACTTGAGGAAGGAAGCAGAAGCAATGACCTGTAAACCACAGAATAGAAAAGTGCAGAAAATGAAAAATACGAGGCGAAACGACGACATTCAGCTGAGAAAAACTCTACAGGAAGAATCATTATTCCGTTTGTCAGCTGCCCCTTAGGGCAGCATCTCTTCACATCAGAGGGGTCTGCAGCAAAGGGTAAGCACGAAGGGAGGACTTTCCACATGCAGGAGACATCTCTAACAGTAATATCCTCTCTCTCTTTTTAGCAGTTTGGTGTATAAAATGTTTTCCTTGATTTTTTTTATTATTTTTCTAGGTTTCTTTGGACCCACTTTGAATAGCTTTATCCACGTGCTCATGTATTCTTATTACGGCCTGTCTGTCATCCCTTCTATGCGCAAGTATCTCTGGTGGAAGAAATACCTCACTCAGGCACAGCTGGCATGTATCCTATTTTACTCTCCTTTTTAAGTATCAGAGAGGGCAACACGAATGGTAGATAAACGCTGCTGTTTGCATAATTAAGAATGCAACTGTAACAAAGCTGTCTTACAGAATAAGCCACTGGTGCAGCCCAGTATAAATTCATAAAGGAAATGATGTTCAGAAATATTTTCTACAACAGAATAGAAACTCTGCAGTTCATAAGATTCCATTATTTCTACCTCTTGGACAGAAATAGACGCTGTTTAATCATGGCAAATGGACATATCAAAAAGTTATAGGAATTGTATGACAGAGCCAGCTCCAATCTGCTCCAAGACAAACCCACCACTGTTCAAAGCTGATAGTACCAGCAAAGCTGGGGGCACCTCTGTGATACTGTATTTAATGAAGGGTAAAAAAAATTATGCGCAGCAGCTGAGACGAAAGATAAAATGTGAGGGAAACAGCCCTGCAGGCACCCAGGTCAGAGCAGAATGAGGGGAGGAGAGGCAGAGATTCCCCTGCAGCCTGTGAAGACCATGGTGAAACACAGGCTCTCTCCATGGAGCAGCAAGTGGGTTGTCCCAAAGGAAACTACAACTCATGGAGGGTCCCACACAGAAATAGGCTCCTGGCAGGACCTGTGGCCCATGGAGAACCCACAACTCAGCAGTCCATTCCTGAAGGACTGCACCCCGTGGAAAGGACCCACGTTGGAGCAGTTCATGCAGAACTGTCTCCCATGGGAAGAACCCCAGACTGGAGAAGAGGAAGAGTGTGAGGAGAAAGGAGAAGCAGTGCCAAAGCAGCACGGACTGAATGCAACCCCCATCCCCCTGGCACCATTTTTGGGAATGAGGTGGAAGAGTCAGAAGTGAAGTTGAGCCTGGCAAGAAACAGGGGCTTAGGAGAAGTGTTTTCAGTACTTCTCCACTATCTTTCTGTTATTAATTGGCAATAAATTAGTCTTCCTGAAGTCAAGTCTGTTTTGCCTATGATGGTAATTGTTAACTTTTACCCCCCCCACTCTTACACCAACCTAAAAGCTTTTCATCTTATTTTCTCTCACTACTCTACCAAGGAGGGGAATTGAAAGAGCAGCACAGAGCTGAGCCACAACAAAAGCTTCTAACAACAGCAATACAAGGCTTGATGTGAACTTAAGGTCCTTTGGCTTCTTTATCTTAGGGCCTGTTCATATTATTTGTGAGTTCAGATGTTTGCAGTGAGCTTAAAAATGCCTGTGTAGAAATGTGTTTAGTAAAATGCTTTTTATCTGAGCTAAGACCATCTCTGCTACTGAAACACACCACCCTATTTGAAAGCAACCCCAGCACAATGGGTTGAGGGCACACTCTGCAGGCTGGGGAGAATCCAATGCACCAGTGTGGGCTGTGGTTCACAGTCCTAAATACCAATAACTTTCCCTGATTCCTTCTGCATCTCATTTTTGCTTCATTGCTCCCATCTTAACTCTGTTAATGCAAATGGTAGCCGACCTGAACTTCTCTTTGGATGCGGGATTTCCATTTTTTATTCAGACTTCTAAAGTTATTGCCTGGAGTCTTCAGTTTTCTAGAGTTTCTGACCAGTAATAGAGACAATGCTGTAGCTGGCATGACACTGTCTGGAAGACAGAACAACCTCTATTAAAAAAAACAAGACAAAACAGATTTTATTTTGCCAACTAGGCCTATGAACTCATTTTTAGAAATCACTGACCCCTTAGGGTGAGTTACTTTTATTTCATAATAGCATTATTTTAACTTAACCATCACAATACATTCACAGATTCAAAAAGGGGTGATTTTCAAGAGTACTCAAATTTTCAAAGAGCAGGACTAGGTGACGTTGTATCTGATCCAGATAGCACTGACACTTTCTCAGAGAAATACTTAAATGTAATCTTTCCTCCACAGATCCAGTTTCTGCTCACTATTGTGCACACACTCAGTGCAGCTGTGAAGCCATGTGGGTTCCCATTTGGCTGCCTCATGTTCCAGTCCTCTTATATGGCCACACTGGTCATTCTCTTCATAAATTTCTACATTAAGGTAAGCAGTCTTCCAAGAGCTCTCTGGCAAGGGTGGGGGGAAAAAGAATGTTTTGCATAGCAGGCTTGATACCTAAAATATGTTTGTAATACTTATGCAAGTTAAAAATGACAGATGTAGAAATGTCCACAAGAAACAGACTTTCAGTAATAGTGACCTCCCCATTGCAGCTCAGCTTTTCCATACTGCAATTAAGTGTAACCTTGCACCAGCATTCAATTCTGTATAGCAAGTACTGCCCTAAGGACTTAGAAGGTTTGAATTTCCTTTGTTGAGCAACTTCTTGAGTCTTCCCCCATCTTTGAAAGAAACAAAACACAAACCAAACAAAAAAACCAAGAAGCTCTGTCTTTGATAAATTCTTTTTTAGCAGAGACTGCTCAAGTCTGCCTGCATACATACATGGAGCTGCCAGTCAAAAGGGCTTTAAATCTCTTTTGAAATCAAGTACTAATAAGGTAATGCCACACACAGCAGTGAAAATAAGCCTTCCCTTAACACAGTCTGAAGCAAATATATATAGCTGCATCAACAAACACCAGACAGCTCCATTTTACAGTTAACCATAAGCAGTGTTTGGGGGACAGTAAATAAATCCAAGTATTTACTTTGGGTGTTGCTTTTATAGACATACCGGAAAGCACCTTCAAGAACAGCTATGAAGGAAACCTCTATAAAGGAAACAGAAATCAAGAATGGTTTCCACAAGGACTACTTTGCTGCTGCCAATGGATTCCTGAACAATAAGAAAGCACAATAAGTATTGTCTTTCCTATGATCTTTTTTTTTCCTAAAAAATAAAACAAACACAAGACAAAAAGACTGAAGTGCAAGTTTTAGCTTAAAACCTATTTGATTACATCTGTGAGTCCTTTGTACCAGACACTTATTAATGTATTGCTATTTAGGTTTTAACAAAACGGGTAGAATTACTTGTCCTATCAAAGATTACCATCGGAACAAAGAAGGCCAAGATCTCTCTCATACAAAAAAGAAAACCTTTCTGATCTCTAATGCTGACACAAAGAAGCCTTATAAAACATTTGACGGACGAATTCATCAATGCCTTCAAAAGGTTAGGGCTCTGTTCAGGCTAATGCAGTGAGCACTTTCTGTGCACAGGAGAGGTCAGGAGACAAGGCTTTGCAGTGCACCAACATGTTCAGCTAAACTATGGCTGAGGTCAGAAAAAGGAAGGGGGGAGGGGTAAATAATAATGGGAGAATCATACCTTTTCCATCACCATACTCCTCCCTCTGCTTCTTTCCAGCCATTCCTCAAAGCATACTCCCTGCCATAGACACCAGCAAGGTGCAGCCATCCCTGTGGCCTTCTGGGAGCCCTGGGGGAGGACATGGGAAGGCAGAGCCATTTGTACCATCCCAGAGTCTGCAGACATACATGCACCATGCTTAATTGCTTTAGATATGTGCAACCTGACCCAAACACTACAAAAGCTGGCAGAAGCTTGCTGTTTCACTGGTAGCAGCTGGGGCTGTCCAGTATGGCATTTAGAATACATATTACCTGATGGGATGGGTTTATGAGCTCTAGTCTGAGCAAAGCAAGTCACTTTGGACATGATAAATGAATAGGAGTTCTGAGTAAATGGATTTTCAAAGAAAAAAAAACTCAACTTAATGAAGATGAATCTTATGAGTGTAAATATAATCCTATACAAAGACTGCTAATTTGAAGCAAACTGACATATCACAGATGAAAGGACAGGAAGGCAAAGAAAACCTTAGAAGCAAAATTCACCGATGAGCAAAGTACATGATATAAGCATTTCTGTGTTAAGTGGGCCTCGTTCAGACTGGTCTATGACTGGAGAAACAGATGGGACTAAGGCACAATTTTTTTTTTGCAAAGGCCTATTTGCTGCCTGCAGCTGTAATGGTGTGTCTCACCCCCCAGCCAGTACCCATCTTCTCTGCTTCAGGTAGCTCTGTTTACCTCCCACTTAAAGAGGGAAGCACAGAGTACCCAAGACTAGCTGTGAGGACCTGCTCCTCACACTTTTCTCATATAGCCCATTTCAAAATCTCTACTGCAAGTGGACACACCTGAAATCCCCACAGTGCTGCAGCACAGGCAGCACAGCCCACCAGCCTGGCTGTTCAACTTCATCATCGTCAACTGGGGAACCAAAATAACTGTGGTATGCAAACACTTTTGACAAAATATCACAGAAAGCAATTACTTGAGCCATTCATCTAAGGCTGGCAACAAAATGGTTGCCTGGCCCAGCATGGATTTTAGGCTGAGCAGAGTCAACAACCTTTTGATGGCAAAGCATGCATTTGACTACCAAGGTGGACGTCAGCATGCTACAAGTTTACTATGGCAACCAAACCCAGAGATATTGTCTTTTGTTTTGTTGAAACCTCGTTCAAAAGAAAATGAAATAAATAAATGCCTTACTTGAAACTTAAAGGGCTGGGGAAAAAAAAAAAAAAAAAGGAAAAAAAAAATCAAAATGGTCTCACCTTGCAGATCCAGACTGGCCAGGAAGGCTGGAATCAGGTATGTTTTACGTTCTTCAGATCTGTCTTAACATCTGCAAAATGCTGCAACTTTGAAGAAAGAGAAGCATTGACTTTTTAAACTGATTTTCCTGTAATACATAACACTATAAATAAACAAATTTTACTATTAGGCTGTCTCCACTCTGCTTTATTTAAGACATCAAGTTGCTGTGAAGTGGCTATGGAGAACCATTCCTGTTGTGAAACTTCTTCAGAAAGTTCTTTGGACACTGACCTCAGACTGGGAAATAACTTCAGACATCAACTCCACACACAGCAACATAAAGCTCCCCTCTGTTTTTTTAACAACTGTTGGTTTTGCAATTGACTGGCCAGGTAGCATTTCTGCATATCATACTCACTTGCATGTTAATTAGGTTGGTAGGAAACAAGTCTTCTGCAGTGTACAGACATAGCATGTTTACACTTCCTACTTGAGATACCTTTCTTTGGTAGACTGAACATCCCTCTCTCAGGCCATCCAGCTTCTCCAGCAGTGACCTCCCACCTTGGCTCCTCTGGGTTTTATTTCAGATGCTTGAAGTAGATGATGGAAAAACCTCTCACTGAGTTTGCCTTTTCTATCAGAGAGAGAACTTCAGCCCAAACTTCAGTCCAGACAGACTTGTTTAAATCAGCCTCTATCATTCTGTTGCCTCCTTGTTCCCAGGCTTCTCCTGCATTGCAGATTTAAGCTGGTGAGATCCTTTGGATCCATCTATTATCAATGGGTAAAAGGAGCAGTTTTGATTTTGACAGAGTAAAAGTTACCAAATACAATTAATTTTATGCACTCTGTAGTGTCCTATATACAACATCCAAAACTTCTCTACATTTTTCCGTGATCAGCAGTGTGAGGGCACACTGAAGCATAACTGAAGCATCACAGTTGAGTGCAACTTGCAGAACATCTACACCCAAATGTATCAAGCTGAGGGAAGCGACCTGGTTTACCCATTATTTGCTGAGATACAGAATCTTGCCAATCAGCCCAGACTTCCTTACTGGCAACACAGCTTCTTCTGCCTGCTATTTCTGCTATATAAATGCTTTAAAACATCTCATTTGGGAGGTCTACCTGACAAAGTAAATAAAACAGCAGCCAGCACAGCCTAGAAAGAAGCACATGAATTTACAGCTAATCCTATACAGATTTGGCAGCTACAAGACTTCTAATTGACACATCTCCTGAGAGATGGGATGTACGTGGTCTAGCTTGTTTCACCAAATAAGGCAATGGAAATTGGGTTTCCCCACATGTGTAATATAATTACTCAGGCAGCAAGAAAAATAAAAGCATCAAACAGCAAATGTCACCTTCGCGAAGAGAACGCCATTGAAAAAAGTATTTTTGGATTGAACTGTTCAGCTTGTCAATGGTTTCCAGCCCATGAAATGCAGGAACCCCTTGCAAAGGAATGTGTGACACCCTTCAGCCTCTGAGGGAAACCTGGAAAGTGCTAAGATACTGAAAAGGCCAACCTTAAAGCAGAGATGCTTCATGGTTACCATGCTCACGCTCAAATGGGCTGTGAGTCCCTAGCTTCTCTCATAGCCAAATCCTCACAGAAAACAATCTCAGTCCCAGCTAGAGCAGTTCTAAATGCTGCTGTAAAGCCCCCTACTGGATGTTATCACAGTGAGGTGGTGTCTAGCACCACAAAGGGAAAAGCTGATATTATTCTTGGAAAGAGGTGAGAGCTGTAATAGCTGATAGTGGCAAAGAGGATGCAGTCTGAAAGCTGCTCCTACCAACATATCAGCTGAGAAGAGATTCTTGAAACTATGTGCTCACAGAACACTTGAAGCTATCTCATGGCAAGAAGCAGTCTCTCTGTATTTGAATTCTCTGCAAGGACTGCCAGGTGTTAAGTAGTTTAGAAGGAAATTTCACATTCTATAGCTGAAAATGAAGTTTTTCAGGCATATTTTTACATGGTAGCATGCTTGGACCACCCCAGGGGAATGGGACAGGAGGGAGCATCTCATCCAGCCCAACAGGCAAAATCACAACTGAACAATCCCTGCCTTCACTTAGAAACATTTGTTCTACAGAAAAAACCAAACAAACAACAAACACAGTGCTTTATTAAGCTCGTCTTCTAGCACTACTCCAAACATGAGGGCAATACCAATCACCTTTCTAATGTGCTTTTGGGGCACTGCTTTTCCTCTGAATGAGCGAAACAAGAGCTTTATGTTGCCGGCAGCACCCCTGTCCTGAAGAGCTCCCAAGCCTAGGAAAGGCACCCACAGAAAGCCTAAAGACCCTCTGGATAAATACACCCCTTGGTTAGGTGTCAGCACAGGCCAAGCAGAGATCATGGACTGGTGAAAGGACCAGATACTGCCCCAAGGGGCACTGCGTTGCTTCTCAGATCACTCATGATCTTCATAACAGTTTAATGCGATTGTTTTCCTAAAGTTCTGTGGTTCACAAACTGTGTTGGCAGCAAGTAATGAAATCTACTCTAGTCCAAAACAAGCCCGTTAGTCAAATCAGTATTTTTCCTATAAATACTTTAACAAAGCTTAGATACCCGTGCAAGGCACCAAAGCAACTTGCTCATTTGCCTATTTCCAAAAGTTGCAAAATTTCCTTGAATTTGGCTGAGCCCTCCTTTCATCTGAATTTCTGGAGGAAAAGCAAAGCAAGCAGAAGGGAGCAGCTATATTCACCCACAAGACAAAGTCTTAAGTGCTTAAAGCACTGGTGCTTTAAGCTTTCTTCAGCCACAAACATCCAGCATGAAACAAGTTCAGCAGCACTTTCTATCTTTGCAAATTAAGGCTGAAGCAGCCAAATGTGCACAGGGCAACATTCAAAAATGCTTCCAATTCATTTACTGTGACATAGGACACTCACTAAAAATTATCTCTGCTGCCACTGTAGTTGACTCCAAGATAAGATTACTCCCCGTGAGGCAGGCTGATAGCTAGCAGCTCTGTAAAGACTGCAATCTAAGCACTGAGGCACAAGAAGGATAATTCCACAGTCCAATGCCCAACTAGTGATGGCTACAATGAGTCTTAATTGTCAAGAACAAAGGCTGTGCTCCAAAAAGATACTGGAGTTTTTGGGTATTACATTCAACTAACACTCCCACTTCTGACTGATTCACAGTTTTTTACACACTTTGCTATGGTGCCCACTGAAATGCCATAGAAATGGCATCTTTTCCAACTTAGTTTTTAGCTAGACTGAACTACCAAGCCAACTAGCACTTTTTTCCTGTCATACAGTACTGTAGTTGGGAACTCCCAGCTCTCCATA